AGGAGGGAGTTTGGGACCAGACAAGCTGTATCTGAGGGTGCTGGGAGAAACCTGAAGTCTTTGAATCATGGAATGGTAGGAGTTGGAAGGGACCTCTGGAGATATCTAGTCCAGTCCCCGTGCTAATGCAAGTTCACCCAGAGCAGGTCAGACAGGAATGCATCCAGGCAGGTTTTGAAAGTCTCTATAGGAAAAAAAGGACTCCACAACCTCCCTGGGCAGCCTGTTCCAGGGCTCCATCGCCCTCACAGAAAAGAAATTTTTGCTTATGTTTAGGTGGAACTTCCTGTGTTCCAGTTTGTGTCTGTTGCCCCTTGTCCTATTACTGGGCACCACTGAAAAGAGATTGGCCTTCAAAGACCATACAGAGTAGGGGAGTTCTGTGAGAATTGTGGGGAGGAAAATGTTCTTGTCTTCCTAAGAGGATAATTTGGAGAATTGCACGCCAGTCAGCCTCTCTTCAGTCCCTTTGAAAATCAGGGACTGAGTTTTGGAGAATATTTTGGGCTGGAAACTGGAAACAGTAAGCCTGGATTTACCAAGGGAAAACCAACCCGCTTGCCTTCTCTATGGAAAAAAAAGTCTGAATTTGTACATAATGAGGAAGTACTAGATGCCATTTTGGTTTTAGCAAGGTTTTTTCATGCTCTCTCTGGCAATATCTTTGTATGAAAGTAAGGCTGTTATTGTCTGGATGGATGGACAAATGGATGGACAGCTAGCTGGGAGGAAAAAAAAGCTGATTGTATGGTCAGGCTCAGAGGATTGTGGTCATGAGCATGAGCCAGTAGAGTGCCCTGACAGTAAGGGAAACCAACAGCAACGAGGGTTGTGTGAATAGGAGAATTGCTCATAAATTGAGGGAAAATGGTAAATTATCATTGTTTACTTTGCATTTGTTAGACTGCATCTAGAATACTCTGTCACATTTTGGATGTCCCCAGTACCAGAAACTCATTAACAAACCGGTGTGAGTTCCAGGGAGGGCTCCTGAAATTGTTGGTGCTGGAGCAGTTGTCCTGTGATGGCTGGGGAAACGGGGCTTGTTCAGCTTGGAGAAGAGCTGGCTTATCAAGAACCTAACAGCAGCCCCCTCAGGGCTGCAAAGATCTAGAAAGTGGAACCATGTTCTTTACTGAGGTTGTGGGAGGACGAGAGAAAGTGGTCATAAAATAACACAGGAGTTTCTGACTTGAGGCAAAAATAACTTACAGACATTTAAGCAATGGAACCAGTTGCCCAAGGAGGTTGTGCAGTCTCCATTCTTAGAAGTTTTCAAGACTGGGCTGGAAAATAAGGAGAGAGACAATCTGTTTCCACCCCATAGGTGACAGAGCTGTAAGGAAGCAATTGGACTACAGACTTCCAGAGGTCCTGTCTAACCTGAATTATTCTATGTTTCAGTGATCAAAATGTCCAGTTTTGGATGAGGTACTGGAGAAGGCTGTTGAGGATACAACATTTTGTGTAGTAGATAGGAAAGTGGACAAGGCAAAGTGACTCAAATGAGAGTATAGAAGAGAGGAAGGGGCAGCAGGAAGACGTCAATTTTGTGGAACTGACATTTATTCTAAACCTAGAATTGCAATGTTTGGATTAAAAACATACAAGAAGTAGGTGCTTTTCATAGCTGGGTCTAAGACAGCTGTGATTACAAATCTAGTTACTCAAAATATTAATCTGTATTGAACAGGTCCAGAACCTCACCTTTTTTTTTTTTTTAACTTCCCTCTCCCCCTTGCTATAATGTCTTTGATGCCCTGACTTCTTTCTTTAAACTGTTTGAAGGAACAGGATCTGATGCAAGCTTTTGCAGGTCATGACCTTTTTGAGAATCCATTTGGCTCTGTTTCCTTCCTCGATGAATGCTGAGGCAGGGAATAGTGTGGGGAGAAGGGGGGGTACCATGCTGGCAGGGTTATAAAGCAAACTTCAGCATTGTGGTTTGTTGTGGGAATATAACTCACATCTGACATGTGCAAGTAGGCGGTGGGAAGCTAGGGTCAAGAAGTCACAGTCTGATAATTTTACTTATCTGTGTCTTGCTGATTGTACATGAACATTAATTCATCTGATGATGGTTGTGGAGAGTTTGTGTATGGCTGTTCCTCATATTTTCATGAAAATAAAAGGAAGATAATTATAAAAGCTATTTTGTGGACTTAATTTGAATAGAATTCTATAGAGCATTGTATACTGCATTTTCCAGCCATATTAGCCAGCAGACTCCATTTGAATGTCTAATGGGAAATTGATGGTATTAATTGAAAAAAAAAAAAATTCTGATTTTTAGGGACATTTTATTGGTATCTGTATATAAAAATAGAATGCCTTACAACAAAACTGAAGTGGTTGAGGGCTTAAAATTCTTTTGATAGAAGCTGGTTTATACTGTGTTATTTTAAAAATCTTGTTTAGAACCTGAACTGTATCCTGCCTACAGTTATTTCTTTTAGCAATAATTTTTTTCTTTTTTAAATAGCTCATCAGGCTTAAGGGCATTTATATAAATTGAGGCACATTAGGTTAAATATTTATTATAGCTGGGCTTTTCAATGGTACTTATATGCGCAAATCACACTAATTCTTGGAAAACCCTCTTGTGTGTCCTTGTGTGCAGAGCACCTCTAGGTACCTGTGAATGCATGCGAGCAAGTAAACGCACGAGACTGTTGTTAAAGTGAAGGGTTGTTAAAGTGCTTGCTCTGTATTTCTATTTTAAGTATGATGGGAAACCAGGGAACATCTACAGAGAGCCTTAATTCATGTGGCATTAGGGAAGTAATTTGGTTAAGAGTTTGACACATTGCTTGGCAAAGTGGAGTTAGTTACTGTAGCAATGTGAATTCACTGGAATTCATCTGTAAATGTATTCAGCTTTTCATAGCTTTCTAAAAAGGTTATCTTAATAAGAACTGCAGATATTAAATGTCTTGTAAGTAACACTTAAGATTCTTTCAGGGTGGGAGCCATCAGTGTTTCTGTAATGATTGGTGTCCTCTGTTGCAGAATTGTATCTTTTATCTTTCCCTTGTTCATAGTGAAAAAGAGATCTATCTAGTGCCTTTTGTTACAGAGAAAAGAATTTTAAATTCATTCTGTCTTCTTGAGTTTATGGATTGGGGAATTTTTTTTTTTTTTTTTTTCCCCCTCCTAGACTTGAGAAGCCTGAGATTTGGCAAACTTGCCATGTTGGATGACTTGGTTTACGTATATTTGGTTTTACATTATCAGCTAAGTTCCACTGCCTCATGGAAATCTCACAGTGCCAAGGATCCCTTGATTGCCTGCTGTATCTCTAGCCTGTCCTCTTTTGTCCACTTCGTCATCTTCCTTAAAGCAAAAAAATAATAGTCCTGAGTTACTGTGACCTATAAAATAAAATAGATGCCATTAAGCACTGGTAATTGTGCTGTTTGCTTAGGACTGCCATGGCTACCTAAAAACTTATATTGTACTGGTAATACTTTTCCCTTTCATTTTAACTGCTTAACGTTTGGATTTTTGAGGCAGAATCTATGATCTTATTTCACTTGTACAGATAATAACTGACATTTAAAAGAACAAACCACATGGAAAGAATTGGTCATAAATAATGTCTTGAGACCTTACCTGTGAACAATGTGATAAGGATAATAATATTTAAGAATTGCTACACTTGTACACTTCCTTGGATTGTAGGGTTATACAGTATTCCTCTGAGTGCAGTTCTCTATCGAGTTTTAAGACAGTGGCTACAGTTGTTGGTTGTCTAACAGTTCTTAGGGGTCAGAGTATTGTCTTCAGCTGCTTTGTTACGTATCGATTTCTCATTTTTATTTCAGTCTCTTTGTGCTAAAAAAACCTATTTTTTTTTTCCCAACCGTTTGGGTTTCTTTTTGTAGTCATTAAGCCAAAGGCTTTCTGCAGCATGTGTGGATTTGTAAGATGGTGAATGTAATGGAAGGAAAAAGGTGTGAAAAGATTTAAAACAAACAGATTTGAACTGTTACCATTTTGCAGCAAGTAAAATAACCCTCAGCTCTTGCTATTTTGATGGTGATGTGCACATAGGACTAGAAGATATTTACACAAAACAAATTTTGCTAGTTATGGCCACAGTAACATTTTTCCAAAAGAAGGAATGAAAGTTGTGAGCAGTGACAAACTTGGTCTTCTGAATTGCGCCATAGGCAACTATTGTACTGTTACATAGAAAAAAAACCTTATACACTACCATGTTGTGTACTACGGTTTATCTAGAGGCATCAGTTTATACCTAAATGGGTACAATGGATTCTATTATCTATTTATTATATATAATAATA